GGTGTGTGTCTATATGCTTATATATGTTATTACACTGCTGCCAGTACTCCATACTTTGGGGTCGAAATGGCTCCATTCCATGTTGAATCTTGTATGTATTATTTGAGTTGTTAACTTTGTCCTACAATTAAAATTTCATACGAAAAAATCACAACACGCAAAATTATGATACAGTACCGTAACTTTCGCTACAGCGTTTTATAATTTAAATATTCTATTGCATAGATCCTTTAATTGGATGGTAATCAAGTTAAGGATGTTTGTATGTAAATCAGCGAAAAGTTTCCTTCGAGATCTCTGAGTTTTAAATCCGTACTCGCGCAAATAAGCGCCCCGTTTGATTAAGCGCCCATCTCGAATAACCGTCCCTCCCAACGTGAAATTTTCCTTAATCGCCCCGTTTGAATAAGTGCCCCTTCTAATTTCAATAAGCGCCCCTCAATAATTTCATAAGATTTTTTTTTTAGCGAGTCAATAATCCAATCAATCATAGAACTGTGGTTGTTGGCATGATTTGAGCTGGAAACACATTCTTCTTAGGTCAATATCAAAATGAGGATATTTCTCTTGGACTGATGAGAGCTCCGATCCCTGGACAGACAGTATATTTTCAACTTTACTATTTTTACATATTTGTCTATGCCTAGTCCTACTCCTCTTTTTCTTTTTCCGACTTTTAGCACATTCTCATCTGAGTTTTCAAGAAAAAATACAATGATCCCGCCATCCGGCTAATCTCAATCGGCCGATGGCCAACAAGCTAACCACTACCCACCACCACTATTGCATCTGCTATTTTGCTGTTATGTAAATATCCACGCATTCTTGTCATGAGCCATGTTCTCTGGACGATTATCTTTTCCGCCGAGCCACCATTCGTAATGTCCTTAAATAATCTTTTTTCATTCAAAAAGTGCCTCTTGAATTTAATAATTTCCCATAAGAACCCCTCGATTTTCATCTATTTCCATAAGTGCCCCCTCAATTTCCACTCTGTTTTCATAAGCGCCCCGTTCGAATAAGCGCCCCGTTTGAATAAGCGCCCCTCAGAAAGTGCAAAAAATATTTTAAGCGCCCGGGCGCTTATTCGCGCGAGTAAGGTATAGGCCTATGGGTCACACTATATTGAAATACGCGTTCACTTTCAAGTCAAGGGCCGAACACAACACTGTGCTCGTATATACCCACAGCTGATGATTACCGCAAAACTTACAGAATTAGGTCTACTCTCCAATTTACCTGTATAGGGCCTAATCTTACTGTTTTCCAAGGTTATTCATGATATGTAAATCAGTATATATAGGATTGTAGAAAATGAGATTTGTAAAGAGCATAGTTACTAAATTTAAATGCAATCATTAACAATTATCGAAGTTATTACCAATAAGGCCTAGTAAAAATAATGTGTTTATATCATGACAATCATTTCATGTTATAGGCCTACTCATACTCCGATTAATGTCCGTCTCGGTGGGGTGGACATACTTTATACAATCCTTCTGGTTTAATTTAGAGGGATATCTCTAGCTGAGAAAAAAAATACGCTATGATTATTGTAGCTCTAGATGGCCAACAGTGGCACTCTCAGACTCTTAGAATTTGAATATAATTTTCTTTTTTCCTCCATTTAAAAAATATAATTTTTAATAATTTCAGGGATGGGGGGGGAGAGGAAGAGGGGCAGCACTGAAAAGCAAACAATGCTGTCGTGTGAATGGCGTTCAATCCGTCACCTGTCTTCTCGTAATTTCAGTTGTCTGATACTAATGGCGTCATTTGGCTCACATAATGATAATGGTAAGATATGAATGACAAATGGTAGAAGATTTACAATTCATGTATCTGTTTCTGATATATATTATTAAATGTAAATAGGTATTATGATTACCATAATAACCATATTATATAAATATCGTTATTAACATGTTTTGTCTGAGACGATTATCGGAATAAGATTGATATCATTACTTTTGAATATCATAATGGCTGTAATGAATAAATATTGCTCAACCTATATCTGATGGAAAGTGCCACCATATGTGTTAATGATATGTCTTTTGTTAACAAACTTGGAAAGATAATTCAAATATATTGTAAATGTTTTTGTAGAGCCTGGTTTACATAAAATCGCCACGCTATCACTTAGCGTGTTCACTGTATAATCTTTATTTTATACCTCCTTGGCACTACGTAGCTGTGCCCGGGGAACAACTAGGACACAACAGGGGCAATTATAAGACATATATTATAGGTACCTAATAGAATTAGTACGCCTTAGTTGTTCGAGATCATTCCATGTAAACGTTTTCCACATGTTTTAAAGGGGAGTGGTCCCCTCACTTTTCGACCGCAATTCAATTCCATGTCAAGTAGATGCCTGGAAATTGTTGAAATGAACTGCGCAATGAACTGCGAAAGAGCACTGTACAGCCAGGATACATCTTATCTTATAGCAAGATACCGGTATCTCCTGCCCACGTCCATCTGAATTACCTATAATAGGCCTACACGACTCGAGTGCGCGTGCCTTTATTATAATTTGAGAAGTTATGAGAAAAAGCGAATAAAAAGCAGATTGGTTTTCGACACATAAAGTAGGTACAGTAATTACATCAAAGACAATTATGTTTTATTTTTCTATGGTACATCACGAGATTGTTTAGATCTCTATGATTGCCGAAAATCGCTGATAAAGAATTATGATAATAACATGGTGGGGTAGGGTGGGTGTGGACTCACGGCTTTGAAGTTGGTAAAGTGATGTGAATACATCAAACACAATTTTTGTATTAGTTTTATTTTCTATGGCACACACACATACCGGTATTAATTACATCTCTATGGTTGGCTAAAATTGTTGGCGCTCCATTTTGACTATAGTGATGTGATGAAATGTGTATTTCCGGTCATTTATGGTACTATTTCCTGAAATGTTCGCGGATGTGGACTCAGGAATGTCCTCTCTCCCGACTATCAAAACAGATCTGCACCCTTGCTTTAGTGAGTTGAAAGTAAAGTTGGGCCCTGATAATCCTGACCCCCCACCCCCGTAAGTTTGAGCCCAGGTCCGCCCCTGTATTGTAGTGATGAACATAATAGTTACGGGCATACAAAGTTATTTTTTTGTCAAAGATAATTTGATAGTGTGACGTGGACAAAGCTTAACGTAAGCCTATTTTTAATAACTGGAATAGGGCCCGGAATAGGGCTAATCAAATAGAGCCACTTTCCGTCATACTGGAACTGTGCCTAGCATGAAACATTGGGAAATGTGTTTATCATTTTTGGTGGAGAATAGCAGATAACATTCAACAGTAAAATTAATAACAGGGCGTGGGTGCTAAGAACCACGTCACGTAGACCTACTTATCAACTAATAATAAAGATAAACTCCAATGCATGAGAAAGTGACCACATTTTACAGACGCGAGAAAATGTATTTAAGTCCGTGGATCAAGACCATCATTCATACTCACCTTTCATGGTTAGACGGTCAGGTAAGTCTCAGACAGCACTTGCTTTTCTGTGATTGATTGTAACTTCGCTATTGTTATTAAACTATGCCTAGACTTGGTTTAGTGTTTGTAAATACTTGTGATTTGCCTACTTTTTTGTAATGTTAAAAACATTTTTTAATTGTGAGCATTTATAAAGCGGTGCTACATTAAGATCATAGTGCTTTTCATCTATCAAATTAATTTAAGTATTAAAAGGCTTACTTTCTAAAGACACTCAAAATAGTTTATTGGCAATAGTAGTCCATGTTCGCGAAGCCGAGCGTTTGCTGTGAGTTTTCCACCGCCTTTTTGGTTTATACAGGATTCGGCAAGCTGACTCGTGCGTTACTAAATAGTGGATCTTTAGTTTAAGGCCTACGGTACTCTTTTTTTCTAACCTTCCTGTTATAGGCTACTTCTACTTTTGGAGTGGTTATTAACATTAAACTCCATCCGGTCGAAGCGTCGGCGACTAAACTGACAACCCTCTTAAATGTCTTAGTGGCTGCTGAGGAGAGATTGTTTATGGTCACCCAGCAGCAAAAAAAAAACCAATAGCTGAACAAAGGGCGGATGAGCTCCTCGGAGTCAACGGCCAACCATTAATTAGTTTAAGGAATATGAGTAGTTTAGTCTCATTGTTATTGTTATTATGATTATTTTTATTTTATTTTATTGTTACTATTTAATTGTTATTTGCTTTTTCTCAGTTGGCCTATATTATTTCTCTGTAAAGCGCATAGGGGCAATGTGCAATATGTGCTATATAAATACAACATTATTATTATTATTATTATTATTATTATTATTATTATTATTATTATTATTATTATGAGATCGCCTTTATCCACCTGAACTCTAATTCATTTACAGTATTGAACGTGCAATCTTATAGGTTTCATTTATGAATATCATTATTTCTTTAGGCCTCAGTAGTTTAATTTTCACCTGCTTAGAGATTTGTTATATGTTTGATTATTTTTTAGGCATTGCCCCGAACGAAAAAAGAAATAGTGTAGGCCTACTCCCTTGAAAAAAGCCCCAACTGCTTAAATGCTTTCATTCATTAATTTCATTATACATCTTTCAATATGAAATTGTTGCATTTGTATTTGGCTTAGAAATACCTCACACAGCTAGCTAAAACAACGTGTCCGCACTTGCTATATGGTAAATGGAAGCCTTTGTTTTAAGAAATATTCTTTGGTCATGTTTGTGCCGTTGTTTTTTGGTTTTTTTCAGTAATTTGTAGAATCCAATATGAGAGTATTTTGTCTTATTTTGTTGGTGGCTCTTGCCAGTGCTGACTTAGCACCATTACACAAAGCTAAAGAACCAATCGCTGGTAAATTCCTGATTGGATTGAAGGTTTGTAGCAATAATATACTTTTTGATATCTTTTACAATGGGACCTTTCCGCAGTGTCAGTCAAACTTTATGACTGACCAATCAGAACGCGTTATTCAATAGCTAAGACTGCGTGCATGCCCCACATACACGCAACACGTTTACGTACGTAGACACTGTGTTTTTTTGGACCTCAGCAACAAAATTGGCGGGCTTATCGGAATACGGTATCATTTGGGATGGGGCGAGGTTAACAGAATTTAGCAAACTAACGGTCATTTAATTATTTATCGAACTTACTTTAAGCATAGAGAAAATATTTTCTCTATGCTTTAAGCGGATTTTTTAGAACAATATAAATATGATGAAATTTAATGTTAGCTCTATACTTAAAATAAAATAATTTATACAGGGAATTGGATTAAATAATGTGGGAAGAGAAATATTTCTAACAATTCAGCCAAATTTAAAAACAATATTTGTCCTGGTTTGTTAAAAACCAGGAGCATGACCAGCATACTCAACATCCATATTGATTGATTGATTGATTGATTGATTGATTGATTGATTGGCTGATCGATTGATTGTTTGGGTAATATATTCTTTGATACATTAATTAATTTATTGGTTGACTCGCTGAGTGAGTGAGTGAGTAAGTGACCGATTGACTAATAAACTGATTGATTGTTTGGTTTCATTATTACTTGATTGATTGATTGATTGATTGATCGATCGATTGATTGATTGATTGACTGTTTGATTGAATGACTCATTGTGCTGGCTATCCCTCTCAGAGCAATGTTGATGTTGATGCCATTGGTGAGCGTCTGGAGAACACTGTCTTCAGCGGTACTCTCAAATCTACCCTTTTAAAGAAGTTTAAAGGTGCCTTCAATGGATTTGTTGCCAAGATGGACGATGAGATGGTGGAGAAGGTAAGTTTTCATTCTTCACTTTGCCTTTGCCTATGCGTTTTGTTAGCAGCGTGGCTCCAGAAATTTGCCGACAAGGGGTCCGACGGTAGCTTTGGTGGGAGTCCCAAAATGCAAAATCCCTGGTAGAGTTCACGTTGAGTTTTTATGGCTTTAGTATGGCCCAAAGTGTGATTTTAGACTACAATATTAGGGATTGGCAATCAAAATAACTTTATTTGGATAGGAAAATTGTTTTTTAAAATTTTTGATCTGACAATCTTGTCGTGGCGCCTAACAACAGCCTGGGTCCAGGCCTGTCCGAACGGGAGTGCAAATGTCTCCAGTGGCCCACTGGCGCCACCGCCGTCTGTTAGCCTAAACAAGAGGTATTGATACGATACTATACGATACAATAAAGCTTTATTGTCACAACGGTATAAACTATGGGTTGTGGTTTAGTATATAACACAGAAAAAATGTCTTGCATGAGGCAAAATATTTTGTTTTTCATCTTGAGTTGCATCTATATTCTATATTTTAGACATAGAATCTGTTGTGGACAGACGAGAGAGCTGGTGCCGGGTAGCTCAGACACAAAGAGACCCTTAGGGGAGAAGCAAATTACTGTAGGAGCTAGTCTAAACCTCAAGCGCTTTGAGACTATAAAGCGCTATATAAATCGAAATACTTTACATTACATATACCTCCTTGTATCTTCATCCATTTAGCTATCGGTTTGTTTAAAAATACATTTGTAAGATAATCAACAGTTGTATTCATATTATTTATTTATATATACATATATATATATACATATATATATATATATGAATTATATGTATATATAATTTGTATATATATAATTTTGTTTTTTAGTACATGCAATATGGTACTTATAATTTTAAAAATTATTATTATGTAACAACAATCCTTATAAAGACATTGGTTCGATATATTCTTTTAAATATACTTTACTTTATTATAACGATATTTGTTTTGCTGGAACCAATAGATCCGTGGTCTTGATTTCGTTGACTACATTGAAGAAGATGGAATGGTGTACACAAGTGTGACATGGGGGCTTGATCGAGTTGATCAAAGGGATCTGCCATTGAACAACTACTTCAGTGTCAACGGTAAGATTTTATAGAGGAATGGAGATATCTAGAGGGATGGGAAAGAAGAGTGAGGTGCTATTTTTATTTTTGTTTGTTGTTTGTTTTGTCTTGTTCTACTTTTACCTGGATATTTAATAAATGAAATGAATCTCCGACTTCGAGGTTGAGGGACCGAAGCGTAACTGCTGCCGCGCCAACCGCTCTCACTTTTCACGAAACAACAATTTAATGTACTATTCTCTTTTATTGTATAATTAATTATTTAAAAGTACAAATTGTATCATATGAAAAAATTGAAATAAATATTATTACTTGAACTTAAATTGATCTACAAAAGTATTAATTTTTTATTAAAGATGTCACTCTTTGTCATAAGCTGAAATAGAAAAATGCAATTCCATATTTAAATTAGGCTACTTAATGTGGTATATTTAAGAACTTGTACATTTAAAATTAAAAATTTTAATGAGAAAAAAAAGTTAAGTAATAGCTTTCATGTAATTTTGTATCAACCTTAAATTGGCTGGTAATATTTTTGTTGAGTGAAACTTCTATAATACAGCGAAAACTTTTATCTGTTTCGGGTTGGAAGTTTATTTGATCATTTTAAAATGAGTTAGGCCTATTCAGGATTTTAATTTAATTTATTAAGTTTTATAAGTTTTTCCTTACTTCGTAAAGTAAATTAGTTTCTGTTCTGTTTAAGTTAGTTGTTCTTTAATTTCCCTCTTATTATCGGGAATTGCACTTTTTAAATTCTACAGGTAAAGGAAACGGTGTAAATGTATATGTGATTGATACCGGCATCAACCCATCCCACACAGAATTTGGTGGCCGAGCCGCTGTCGCCTACGACGCCACTGGTGGCGATGTAAGATAAAGTTCAGGCAAAAATAGACTCTGATGCTACTGCTACTACTACTACAACTACTACTACTACTACTACTACTACTACTACTACTACTACTACTACTACTACTACTACTACTACTACTACTACTACTACTACTACTACTACTGTTCTCCTACTACTAGCCTATACAACTAATATGATGATAATTATTACTACAATTTTTAATACAATTTTTATTCATTTATTATTATTATTAGCATTATTATTATTATTATTCTTATTATTATTATTATTATTATTATTATTATTATTATTATTATTATTATTATTATTATTATTATCATTATTATCATTATTACCATTATTATCATTATTATTATTATTATTATTATTATTATTATTATTATTATTATTATTAAAAGGATAACAAAATTAATCGTTACTATTGGTGTTTTATCACTAGTCATACTAACATGATCAGGCAAATGTTTGATAAACGTTTATTTGCAGGGAATTGATTGCAATGGTCATGGAACTCACTGTGCTGGAACTATTGCTGGCTATAACTATGGCGTTGCCAAAGAGGCCAATATCTATGGTGTCAGAGTTTTTGGATGCTCCGGTGGCTCTTCTACATCCACGATCATTGACGGTAAGATTTCTTCTCCAATTTTCAATATTTATACATTATGAACAGTTATCTGTATTTAATATTCAATCATACACTTAATGTTAATTATGAATATTAATGTCAATGCCGTAGCCAAGTCCACCCTGATGTTGTCCCGCACTAGTGGTGGCGGGATAACATCAGGATGGACCCAAGTACTTTTTTACGCGTAAATTCAAAAAATGTGGACCCTTTTTTTTTTTAAAGGTGACCCATTTTACGCAACAATATGAAAAATCTGGACCCATTTCTTAAAAATTGACCCATTTTATGCCAAATATGAGAAATCTGGACCCATTTTTTAAAAGTTGGACCCATTTTTTGTGGACCCAATAGAAAATATGTGTGGGACTATCCCAAGTGTCCCAATAGCTGGCTACGGCATTGTTTAACTGTAAAATTACGCTTTTTATGGATAACAAATTCTGTAAAGATTGTTTGAAGGAGGTATAGAGAAGATGAATAATTTTAAACTTTTAATTAAATTTTTTAACATTTATCTTACTGCTGTATATTTTTAATCACATTGCATTTATTTTGTATAACTTCGTTTGTTTAAGTAGTTAAGGCCTACATATTTTCCATTATATCAAAAGTGTTTCAAAGAAATGTATTTATTAATTGATTTATTTATTTTGATTGCTTTATTGATTCTTAAATTGAATACAATATTGAATGACTTCATTCACAATAGGAATCAACTATGTGTACTGGTATGGTAGTCAACCGGGTGTTGTGTCCATGTCTCTGGGTGGTGGGGCATCTACTTCTGAGGACAATGCTGTTACCAACCTGATTAACAAAGGATTTACTGTTGTGGTCGCTGCTGGAAACGACAATGCTAATGCATGCTATTATTCTCCCGCTAGAGTAGATGCGGTAGGCCTATGTAGTTTTCAACATGATTTGCAGTTATCCATTTTTTTAAAATTTAACATATACAGCAATACGACCCACCCAGCATAACGATCTCCATCACCAAAACAATTACATCACAAATGCAAACAAATCACATTAAAACGTTGAATTTAAACTAGAAATATACTTACATTGTTAAACAGTTATCATACTGGTATATTTATTTATTTGGATATACAACTTCAGATCGGTAGCACACGTTTAAAGTGAACGGTGCATCCTTATAATTAAACAAATACAACCATAGAACAAAATATATAATAAACCAATTAACATAACGCTGTGTAATCTACCTACAGAAAAACTTTTAAAAAATATTTAAAACTGAAATTAATCCTAAATCACCCCTAAATGTTATTCAACTTCTATTTTTCTTTTTAAATACATAGGCCATTACTGTTGGTGCTACTGATTCATATGACACTCGTTCGTCCTTCTCTAACTACGGAAACTGCGTTGATATCTTTGCTCCTGGATCCTCTATCACCTCAGCTTGGTGGACCTCTAACAGGGCCACTAACACAATCAGTGGTACTTCTATGGCTACCCCTCATGTTTCAGGTAACATCTATTGTCTTATTTGGGCTCAATAAACACCTTGCAGTACCTGTTTCGTAACCTTTTTGATTAATTACTAAAATTAATTTCCAAAATCAAATCAAATATTGGTTCAAATAATATTGTTCTAAAGCCCCATTTACACTAGACACGATTATGACACGACAACGACATATCATCATCGCGTAGTTTGTATTCTTCACACTTAACACTGCGCGCATCTGTATCGTGTCGTAATCGTGTCTACTGTAAATAGGGCTTTGGGCCACACGGCACAGGATATTGGGATTTGGACGGGGTGGAGGGAGGTCTGATGTTTTGCTTGAGAGAGGCGGTGGAGGGTGTAGTCATGAAAGTGTCCCGATGGTATGTGCAGTGATTTATTTTATTTCGGAAACCATCAGTGGCACTCTTCCAAAGGAAGGTGCACCACAAGAGAAAAAATAGGGCCTACTTAAACTAAGATATCATATACATTATAATCAAAACATAATTAAAGTAAGAGAATATTGAAATGAATAAGACAGCTTTATTCGTAGTACAGCCAGTACAGAGCTGGGATGTGGTAGGACTTGCTAGCAGTCTCTTTTCTTAGTGCTAGATAATTTCGTAGGGCGTCACCAGCGTCTGATTTTGTTAATCCTAATCCATAGAGCTATTAAACATATTAAATGTATGTCCTAATCCCAGAAAAAATATAGTATGGAACGCCATGCAAATAAGTAATATGGAACGTCATTGGTGCCAAAATTGATCGATTTTATAGTTTTCACTGATTAAGACAAAATTTAGGGGCTAGACCCCAGTCTAAAAATGTGGAAAACAAGATAAAAATGATGAATTAAAGGGTATATGTGAAGTGTGAAAGAGAGAGAGGGAAAGTTAGTGCATTAATTGATGATTGATTGATTGATTGATTTATTGGTCCCACTCATTTTGTTTCTTTTTTATCTTTTATCTTTCAGGTGTTGCTGCTGTTCTCCGTGGTAATGGTTATTCAAATTCACAGACAAGAAGCAAGATACTGAGTGATGCTTCTTCAAACAGAATTTCCAGCACCGGATGGGGATCTCCCAATTTATTGTTATACGTTGATTAAATCACAGACATTGTTATCGGAGATCAATGTCACTTCGTTGAGCCTAATCATAGTAACTAAGCTATTTCTGGCATAATACCAGAACATGTAGTATCATCTTTAAAACTACAGTAGTGGTACAAGCTATTGATCCCTTTAACCCTATTATATCTCAATCCTGAAGGAATATTATCGTAATATATTTAAAATTATTTTGAATATAAGAGAATTATCCAAAAATATTAAAAATTGTTCATATATTTATTTCAAATATGAATAAATGCGATTATTGAAGTATATATGAAGTTGTATATTTGTATTTTTTCGATATTATCAATCTTGTAATACACCTGTCATTAAGTATAGTGCACGTATAAAATAGGAATTTGTCTGTGGTAATTTTGTGATCATTGAAGACTGGGTAACTAATAAGAATATCTTATGCGTATTATATTGATACATACACACACACAGTAACATGTACAATACACTAACTAAAATAACAATAAACTAAAAAATAAATAAATAAAATAATAATTAAGTAATCTGAATTTAGTATCACTTTTATTTATCCGGCCTATGAATTACTGTAACTGTCACATCGGGAATTGAACCCAAGACCTTCTGATTACCGTCGGTTTGTTCTCAGCCGAGCTGGGGTCAGGTTAAATTCAATGCGACAAGTTCGTATAATGCAGCATACTACGCATTTAACTGGTAAATTACATGAATTTAAATAATATGGGTATGAAGAAACATTTTCAGAATAAGCCTGGTCTTGTAAGAAACAAAATCTTAAATGTTCGAAATCGTATTTTTATTACACAATGATTTTTCATAGGACTTTATTCGTTGAAAAGCTACAGGGTAGCCTACGATGTTCCATCATGTCCTATATATATATATATATATATATATATGATATTTAATTATACCATAGTTACCTTAATAATAATAATTTACTATTATTCGTTGCGTAGTACCAGTACCAGTATTACGAAATACCTTGAGAAAAAAACGTGTCCTAATGGGAAAATCCAAGGGTGTATACCACTTGACGTCATAGCTGTGTTTGTAGAGTATCCGAACGGTAATCGGAAGGTCTTGGGTTCAAATCTCGATGGGGACATACGTTTTTCTCAAATATTTATTATGATTTATATATTTATATGTATATAATATACCGTATATTATATAATATATAAATATTATCTATTGTATGTGTGTATATGTGTGTGTGTAGCGGGTGTTTATTTTATGTAAGCGAACAGTCACTTTGAAGCTTATGGCATAAGCGTAATGTAAAACTACAAAATCCTCTGTATGTAAACGTTACTTAAATTTTATTATGGAAAGGGGGATTACAAATAGGGATGTCAAAGGGGAACTTAACAACCCAAGAACTACTCACGTGAGATGAAATTGAAAATACAATATGCTTGTCCACTCACCAACTACGTCCAATAGTTTAATAGTGTTCGAATAATACGAAACCGAAAAAATAAAGCGAGTCCAAATCAAAGATCCAAAAATCATCAGCGGCAAATCCAATAACGGGAATTGCAAACGATGATTTCATTAGAGTCAAAATCGTTCATCCAGGTCCAGGCAAAACCATAAAACATCCCATAATCGATCAGACATTGGCCTGGGTTTTCCTCCAGAATAGCCTAAATCTTGAAATTAAACAGCTGTATTACAGCACCCTAGTCGATCTCCCTTTAGAGCCAGCTCAATCAGAGTTGAACGGTGTAGACTCTGCCCCATCCAAGTTAGTGTATCACTGATAGGACTAAATCTCTAGGGGAACAGCCTACCAATAAATAGTAGGATATTGCACATTATGACTATAGGAAATGGAATGCATCTTAGGTTAATAATCTAATATATAATCTAAAATTTATTTAAGACGAATCATTTTCAGATGTTAGTTTCTCTCTCCAACAACCGTGTCTCTACCTCCCATGCAATATACCGACTGACAGCCATTCTTTTTTCAACTTTGACAGCGCCCATCCTCATCGTCTAAATCAACTAATGCCTACAGTCATTGCCTACGCATAAAACTAATTTGTTCTAGGCCAGGCGACTACACATTTCATTTTAATAAACTTTTAGGTAACCTCCTTAATCATGGATACCCCTTCAGCCTAGTTAAATATGAGATAACTATAGAGCTTTTGTTTGTGTGTGTGGTGTGTGTGTGTGGGTGTGTGTGTGTGTGTGTGTGTGTGTGTGTGTGTATGAACTCTAAAACGTCTTCAGGTAATGTTTGAGGTTAGGGTCAAAATTGACAAGACTGGTGTATACGAAGTATTACACACAGTGCGCCTATCAAATAACAATGTTTCATTCAAAATTATATTTTGAGTCTATTATAGTTTATTTGTTACAATAAGAAAACAGTTTACTCTTAGTAAGAGTTAAATGGCATTGATAAGACCATTCCAGAGCATTCATATCATGAGTAATCTAAATGTGTAAGTCTCACAGAATCATTTTTAGTAGGCCTATGAAGTTTTAAAACAATCGCTACTAAAGGCTTAGATAGTTGTCCTTGATTTATTTATAAAACCATTTTATTTTTTAATCTGAATGTTTATTCTGTCTGCAAAGAATATATTTTCTCCAAAGATAATTAGTTCACATACAATTTATTATGTAGTATAATTAATTTGTTCACAAAATCAAGTGAGAGATGATGTGTACCTGTGGTTAAGCTGTGTCCGCTCAACATCTGTCGATACAGATGTTGAGATGTTGTTGAGTCCTTGATTTATTTATAAAATCATTCAATTTTTTAATCTGAATGTATATTCTGTCTGCAAAGAATATATTTTCTCCAAAGATAATTAGTTCACATACAATTTAATATGTTGTATAATTAATTTGTTCACAAAATCAAGTGAGAGATGATGTGTACCTGTGGTTAAGCTGTGTCCGCTCAACATCTGTCGATACAGAATTAAGTAATTTAATTAACAATTAATTAGACAATTAAATGTCCCAATTTGTGCTTCATAAAACACATATTAGCTACCTGACACAGTCGAAGAAGAGTTTACTTAGAAGCTGGTGTTTTAAAAATATCTACTATTCATCAAGTACTTCAGTTTTATCACAAAACGTGCAATTGCTTTCTTCTAATATTTTCGAGAATTCAATAATATGCGAGCATTTTGTCTTATTTTATTGGTGGCTCTTGCTAGTGCTAACTTAGCACCATTCCACAAGGCTAATGAGACAATCGCTGGTAAATTCCTGATTGGATTGAAGGTTTGTATCAATTACCAACATTTTTTGAAATTTTGTATTTTCAAAACACTCAACTTAACACTAGCTCACAGTTAGATATAATATCAATGTAGGCAGTATAAGGCAGAAGTAAAAAAAAAAAAAAAAAAAAAGGATTGATGATAAATTTATAAATTGGTTGGTTGGTAGGGTGATTGATTGATTGATTGATTGATTGATTGATTGATTGACTGACTGATTGATTGACTGATTGATTGATGTATTGTATGATCGAATTATTGAATTATCAATTTATTTGATATGATCCACAGGCCAATATTGATGTAGATGCCATCAGCGAGCTTCTGAAGAGAACTGTATTTAGTGGCAAACGCAAAGCTAACCTCTTGAAAAAATTTAAAGGTGCCTTCAATGGATTTGTTGCAAAGATGGATGATGAGATGGTGGAGAAGGTAAATACTACTCACTATTCATTATTATACTTTAATATATCCGTTTTACATACACTCTGGACATGAAACATTTAAACACTATTGACAATACACCAGCTTTCGTGCACTTCTTTAGTGCTTTATTTACGACTGTATCAGAATACGGCTCCCCTTTCTTTTTTCTGACTCCTCATCAAGTAGTCCAAATGTATTTTTTTAAATACCTCTGATACGGGTTCCGGCCCGTTGCCACCCAGGCCCGTTGCCACCCGGGCCCGTTGCCACCCGGAACGGGCCTAGACCCCTCTAATACCTCTGCTTCCTCATCTGTATTGAGCAAATGGAAACATTTTTTTGAATTACATTACATTACAAGTTGTCCTTATGATAGGTTCTTTTTAGTTGCTTTGTTTATGCAGTGCTTGATAGTAGAAATCTTGATTTATGTATGAGGTGGATGCTTTTAACATTCAGGATCATCATACTCTTTTTAAGTACCTAACGGTATACTTACATCTTATATCTTTATTGTTGAATGTTCTTAGATATTTAGACTAAAAAACCTGAAAAGTAGACCTACGTATGACAGATTTTTGTTTTCTGTCGTCACATTGTAGATGTGAATTATTAACATTTACCTGCATATATATATATACTTATACACATCT